TATAACAAACAGTTAAGCGAACCCTATAAGAAGCATGCTGCAACTGGGAACCAATACAACAAATACACAAGGTCGCCAGGGCTAATATCAGAGCTAGGTGCACCCTGACTCAGTGGTATTTTCGCCTTAATACTGTGGTAGTGGTTAGCCAGGCGCTGTGCGTGCGGCAACACAATCAGTTCCCGGCCATGCACAGGTAACTGTTCAAGAGAGAACTGAGCACGGGCATCTCATGGGCTGACATGCCACGTGACCGAATATGGCTATTTAACCGACCGATAGCTACAGACAATAGCAATGGGGTGATGACCCCACAGTGTGGTTCTAGTTGCAAAATCTCAAAAGTTGCACTGTATCTCTAGCCTTTTTCAGCCATCGAATTCTTGTTGACATTTTTAGCATCGCCTACCTCAATGGCCAGCCTGTATTGAGCAAGCACTGTGTCCTCGGCCAGTGCTGAAAAACCTGGGTCAGTTCTAACTACAGCAAAGGGGCCATTGAGCAGACAATCAACAAAGCAGCTGTGAAGGATGTCACACACTCATGAACAACTAGGATGAGCTGACGCTCACGTTTAAGCACATCAGCTGCAAAGGTAGACCAACCGTCTCAGGTGGATCACAGCTGTACTGCTCCACCTCCAGCACTGGAGACTTCACCAGTGCAGCACATTGGTGGCATCCCTTACTGGTAAGCTGGATGGCCAACTCCAAGTCCAGCATGTAGAAGTACCAGCCAACGATAAGTCTCAACTGGTGAGCCGAGGGGTGATCTAACCTGACGTGCAATGACATAAGCAAACCATGTAGTACTGACCTTGGAACAACGGTGCATTCGGTGGTGTTTGACAGTGGTGTGTTACGTCGTACAACTAAAAGCCCATCACTTGCTAAGGTAACAGTACTCAAATAACATTTCAAAACTTTGACATTGGTAACTCTCTTGGAAGGACGTGTACCTTGACAAAAATGTGCGCATACCCTACGGAGGACCAGACACTGCCTGAATAGACACCCACATGGTTCTGTTGGCAAAGGGTACATTTTGAGCTCCCCATAAGATGTCGGAAATGTCAGTACCCCACACAACAGAGACCATGGATTCACAGACGAAGCTACACACCTGACATGCAGGTCTGTCACACTGTGCAGCATTGTGACTAGCATAATCTGAAGGGAGAATAGAAGCCCCAGCAACATGACAAACAGAGACCTGGAAGCGGCTTGCAGTCGACAAGAAATGATAACACTCGGGCTCACAGAAAATTCACCCCTGCACAGCTTCTCAAAGGCCTGCACGCATGGTTTACTGTCAGTGAGCACACACGCCGTCTGTGATGACTGAATAATATTTGGACCAAAATGCTTCAGGGCAGCGGCTATAGCTAGGGCTTCAATCTCACACGGAAGCCAACTGATCTGATTTTTGAGAAGCTTAGCGCTAAGAACTTTTCCCCCAGTGTAACGTACATTGTTGCACCCAGCCCTGGACCCCTAAAAGATCACCATCGGTGACAATCCAAAGCTGATCATCAGGACGCGGTATTGTCACAGTGCAACTAGTGGATAACGCCTGCTGAGCCTGGTGAAAACACTGGAGGAGCTCATCTGACAACCCAATCGCAGCCGTTGACTCACCACCAGTGACCATGTTGTCGAAGGGGGCAAGGATCAATGCACAACCCTTAAGAACACGTGCTAGGACTTTATACGCACCGAAAAAGTACCGTAGGCCACTAACAGTCGCGGTTGGGGTGTTACACGAAGCCAATGTTGCTGTCACACTGGCTCGTCGATGCAATTGTTTAAACCCCCTCCACCGGAGGAATGGCATCGTCGTGGACATGGGCAAATGGCATATCTATTCAGGACATTTGCATGGTGACAGGCTGGTCATCACCCAACACTTTTGTGAAGTTTTATAGCTTAGATGTGTCGTCACTTGCCTCACATGTACTGTCTGTGCGAGCAGCGCAGCTGCCTACCCAGTCTCAGTTATGAGCTGAGCTACATGCCTCAGTGGTTTCAACCAGGTCGTATACACCCCTGTATTGATGTACCACCAATTCAATGCTGTCTCTATCAGCTTATCAGATTGTAATGATATAGTTCATCACGTTTTTTATGATTTGTGATTACTATCATACTCTACTCATTTGAGCACTGGTTTGGCCGTTGCATCATTACACATGATTTTGTTGAAATTAACAAACTTCCTTCAACTAATTTATGTGATGGCGCCTGCGTTTTTGGTTTTGGTTGGATTTTGCTGTTGTAGGCTGTAGGGACCTTTGAAATAAGTGAAATCATTTGGCAAAGTGATATGGACGTGTAATGCAGTCGAGCCCTGCCTGGATTTGTCATACTTTATCAATGTTTCTCAACTTCCACACAATTTCTTCTCGCCCATGTTTGATCATTAGTAAACATAAGGAGCGGTACTTCCGTCCAATGAAATTTTAGAGTGGTTGGAGTGTGACCTTGACGCAGTAGAAATAAAAACCAAATGACCAACTTAAATAGTGTTGCTTGTCGCAATCGGCTGGTAAGTTTATTTTTAATAAATACCTGAGCTGAATAAATAATATTTAATAAGTAGCCGAGCTAACATGGACTGTGTATCTGTTGGATATTATAACGATGGAACTCTCAACTTCTCGTATACGTGGATCTAATGTGAAAACTGTAAATTGATGGCATTCTTCTTTTAATATTGTGTCATCATTTTTAATATCATTGTAATTTTTCTTCATTTATCATTTGTAATTTAAATCAGTATTTCATTTTTTGAAGTCTACCAGCGGTGGGATGGGATGGGTTCTAGATTTGCACATTTGCTTTTTGTTTTATATTACTGTTTCTACTCGGTCTAAAAACAAAAAGAAGAAAATTCAATAAACAATTGTTAAAAAAAATAAAAAATAAGTAGCCGAGCTGAAATCCCAATACTTCACTCTTTTTCTCTTCTCCACGGGCTAATTAATTGCTCTCCGCAACTGAACTTTCACACTATTTGCCTGGCAGGCAACATCAAGTCTGCACACTGTACAGGTTATGGGTGTGTGTGCACATTCATCACACAGAATAAGGCTCATTAAACATGGCGCGTGGTACCACAGAGAGCAATTCGCCTATAATGCAGCTTCCACCTGCCATTCTTCTATGCCATACTATAAGCAGGTAAAACTAATTGCTAACATCTAATATCAAATCGAACTGATGATAGCATTTATTTTGTATCCTATTATCTAGTGCACCCGAGTCAGTTTGGAAGGTTAACGTTCAACATGTGGCTCATGCTCGTAAGTAAGATACAATGATTCATGTACCTGCGTTCAGACTTGTCACATTTAAATTGAATCAATAGGCAGTGAAACCTCTCCTTCCTTTCCATTTCTTCGAGAAAACTTGGAAGCGAGAAAAAAAGTGAGAGGACTGGGGAAAATTAATTCTGAAATTCTGATTAATTCCCCTGAGGCCCTGCCCCCCTTCACTTTTCTCCTGAAATCCATTTGGCCTGGTCCCCCCATTAGGCTGGCTGTCAGGCAGTGGATGCTGGGATGGGCGGCTGTGTAGAGAGGCAGGAACGGAATGAATTTACCCGGTCATGTAGAGCGGGTGTCAGAGACAGACTCAGCCAGCAATCCATCAGTGGCACCAGCTTCCTGTCAGAGGGGGGAGGGCAGAGAGGAAGAGACACATTGGGTCATCGGAGCATCTTCATTCTCTAGCGGTTCACGTGCCGTGGGGAGATGGTAAGCAAGGGGGTCTGTGGAGAAGGTTTAAGTGTGCACATTTTCACAATGTATACTTTCTTAATAGGCCTGCTGATGGGAAACTAGTGAATGAAGGCAGGACAGAGTCCAATTATCCCTTATGGTGGGCGCTTTTTAAGCAAGCAAGCTAACCTTTGATTGCTTTGTCTTTGCCCTCAGGGCATACAGCTCTCGAACATACATGCAGCCCATCCGAGAGGCCTGAGAAAACATGCACTCACCAGAATCTAATGGATTTCATTACTTCGTCTTGTCAATGCCTAGAGTTGGCATGCTATGCCTATTAACATGGTGTACACATCTTGTGCTGACTGTCTTCCACATTCATTAAGGCAATGAATTCCCTGAAAAAAGCTCATGACAGGTGGGTGAGCAAATACCTAAATAACTGTCCATTAGGGATCCATTTAACATCCTGAAAGGAAGGGGAAATGGAGCTGAGAGTGAATTCTTCATCACTCTTTTTTAAAAATCTGCTTCCTTTTCAACATTTAACAGATTCAAATTTAACTGGACCATGGAAAATGCCACCTACTTTTCTTATGGCAGAAGTGTTTTGTAGAGCTTAGATACATCTGTACTCAATAATATACTACAGTATAGTAAGTACAAGAAGAAATATACTTTTCTATATTTATTGTTTTACTTCTGGAGATGTGCACTATACTATTGATATTCAGTATTGTATTAATGCTTGTCCAAGCATGAAAGACAGGGGTATTTTAAATTGGTTTTGAAAAGTCATTTTGGCAATTTCATTTAAATTTTGTCAGTACTATATTTAAACAAGTTCTGTTGAATGCCACACTACTGAGCATTTGCTGCTAGCAATATCTGTTTGGTAGCTCTATCTGTATCAACTTAATGTCTCACACTCAGTGAATAAATACAAACCACATGCGGAGTTGCTTAAAAAATCTTTATTATTCATAAGGTGGAATTAACAACAAACATGCATCTTAACACAATAAAAAATGTTAAGATATTGCACTGTTTTTTTTCCTTTGCACAAACTTGTGTCTGTACAACCACATTGTCTCCTTTAGTCTTGGACAAAGCATGATTGACACATGGGCAGTGCTCTAAACCCATAACACCACTGTATCACCATTGACTCCCTTGTAACTGAGTGTCAAGTCTTAAAATACAGACAATATCTAGTCATTGTCCCATTCCATCTACAGGTGCATCTCAATAAATTAGAATGTCATGGAAAAGCATAACTTCAATTCTTTTCATATTAAAGACACTCAGAACACCAGACTTAAAAATATTTACATAAAAGTAAACCATCTCATCTGTGCTGCCATTTGGGTCAAACACATACAGACATTAGAAGAGGGCAGAGGTTGGACATAGACTCTATGTGTGTGTTTATGGTAGGCATATGTAAGTAGTGTGTGTATGTGTGCTCCAAAGGTTTTTCATTCATAAAAAGCCAAGCTATACCACAGGTGAGAGGTGGCGGGTAAATTTGCTCTAGACGGTGTGTGAGATTACATTTCACTAGTGCGTGCATGGTGGCATGTGGCTGCAGGACATTGATGGATGACCACCGCAGGCATTCTGACACCCGACTTCACCTCAACAAATAGCCCAACCATCATCATCATCCCAATTACGTACATGAGAAGGCAGTTAGCGCTCACTTTCACAGCCCACAGCAGCTCACGACTTTAGAAAGAGATGAATTTCACACATTTACACACATAATTTAGAAAATTGTTTTCCTTTTTTTGTTAAAAGCACAATGGGTAGAATGTGAAGCAGGTCATCAGAGACTACATGTAAAAAAAATAGTGAAAAACTAAGTACTAGGCTTGAGTGAATGCGACAGTTTCATAATGTCTTTACACCCTGTAAAATCTCAAATGCAATGCAGCCAGAAAGGAAATCACTAGTGGTCTACCATCATCTAAGCTACAAAATGTGCCTGAGCACTCACACTACACATGACACATTATTTAGACATAATGCACTAGTGTGCTGTTTACAAATGATCTCTCAAAGCACATGTAAACATTCAAGGGGAGTTTCTATAAGCCCTTCAAATTTAGTTTAAATGGAGATTCCAGTTTGGGTATGAGAATGATAACTTTGGAGTGGGATTCAGTTGAAGCCTTGGTCTTTTTTTTAATAACTGTGAATTTATAGCTTTGCCACTAGTGTGTAGGATTGATAAGTGTTCTCTAGACGCAACAGGAAAAATACTCTATTAAACCTGACTGCCCACAGATGCATTTCCAACTTCATCCACATGCCATTCTCGTTACAAGTGCATTTTTTCACTGATCATGGTGCTCTGGTTAATTAGGTTCGTCAGGAATTGAGCTTCAAGCTGCAATGCGATCAACAGCTCCATTCCTTAAAGAAGCGTAAATGTGCAAGATATCCATTCACATTTCATATGGACAAAACATGAATAAGGGTATAGCATAACTGTACATACCATCATCATGTGACTCCAATCACAATCGGTTATAAAGACCAACTAAAAACAGTTTCATTTTCCATATGGGCAGGGCCAAAAGTAGGGCAGGAGTGTGTTGGAAAGAGATTGACTTGCTGTGAGCACCTAGACCTTTATACCAGGCAAGTGTTGAAATTTGAACAATGAGAATAAATGAAGTGGTAAACTGCGTGGAAACACAATACAGACAACTCGTTTTGATTATAAATGTAAAATGTGGTTAAAACATTCAAAGTTCCACAGGTTAACCTTTAAATACATTATGGTGTTAACACATTGTTATGTCAAGATAATATGACAACGTACCACAGTCTCACTTACTGGTCAAACCCCTCAAGACCCCAACCAAGTCTGGGATCTAATTGGATACTGTATTTATTGGTTTTCATATTATTGACACACAAAATAAAAAGGGTTTGTGCAAATACATCTTTGCCCGGTATATGACAAAGGGCTGAATCAGACAGAGCTGATATGGCAAAGATATGACACCAATCAAAAACACACTCCCATTGTTTAGGGCATAAAACTAACAAATAACAGACTTTTTTAAAAATATACATTATATAAGAACCCACACAAACACACTCAAACATGCTTCTGTACACAGGCACACACACAAACTCCAGATACAAGTCTGCCAAAACAAACAAAAAAAGCAAACAAATATACAGAGACAACAGCTAATTGGTCCAGATATTAAAAGAGAAAGAGAAAATAAAACAGGCAAGCTGAAGAAGAAATAAAATGGTCCGCTTGAACAGAGTCAAAACCAAACACGGTCTAGACATAATGATGTGCAAGTTACTAGTAATGTCTTTAGCTAAGCTATGTAGCTTGACATAACTTTAGTGGGATGTGAATGATGGCCAAAGATCACATGATTTATTATACAGAGTAATTACAAATCATTTCTAATAACATCTTTAATTCTGATTGGATGTAATTCATGCAATTATTGGCCACCATTCTTCTGCATTATACATCCAAATTTCAGCTACCATATACACATTACATTAGTGACGGCTGTGCCATAGGGAAAATCTCAAGTTGAATTTTCATAGACATACATCACACAGCTGTTCGACACAATTAAAAGCTGAAACAAGTGCAAGTGAGAAAAGAAGGAAAACACAGTTTGGTTTCTCTTTATATTACTTATTCTTTATACTACAGGTGTGATGAAATAAACTTTGTGTGTTTGTGAAAATTGCTCGGGATACGCTACTCTTATTGCTGCAATATGTCTTCCTATAAAGAAGAACAGGCTGAAAGAAATGCGTGAAATGTTGAGATGTTGCTTTAAGGCACAACTATACCTACTACAAGAGAAGATTCTTAAAGTAATATAAGGATAATATGAAGAGGTAATATACTGTAAGTGGACATGGTTTCTGTCTCTCAGGGGGCGCAGACCCAAGCATTTGTCTAGGTTTTCTAGCTGCTGAGAAAAATACTTTAAAAGGAGGAACAAGAAAAGCAAAACAATTCGAAGCAAAAGCTTCAATTATTTAGTGAATGGCAAAGCATAAAACATTTTGAAATAAAGCCGTTGGGCTCATCTGTAAACACCTCCATCTCTTCCTCGGTCTTATCTTTCCACAATCTTTTCATATGAATACTGACATTAAACAGGACAACTGCCTTGTGTTACAGTGTGTATTTGTCAGTCATAGGCAATTTAAATTAAAGCTGGAGAAAATGGGTCTTTCTGCAAGGCTGCTACGTCGTCTTGTTGGATTTGTCTCGTGAAATAGTAGAACTAGACTTTGCCTGGGCCTGAGATTGTGCTTCAGACTTTGGCCTTGGTGTGGTGCCACTTCGCGGAGTCCCTGGTCTCTCCTGATGTTCTTCCCCGGCTTGGGAGTTTGGAGCAGTTGGCCTTTTGGAAGTCCCTTGGACCTCCAAAGATCTCTGAGAAGTTGAGGCTGGCTCAGATTTGGATGACGTTTGTTTAGAGGGAGATTCAGTCAGCCGTGGAGACTGGGAGCCAGAAGCAGCAGACGGACTCAAAGAGTCAGGAGAATCAGGACGTTCCAGGCGACATTCTTTTATTTTCGGGTGGGTGGGATCTGTCTGGGGATGCTGGTCCTTTGTCCACTCTGAGGCCTCTTTAGTACCTGGGATGTTGAGTTTGACCGGGCCAAGCACACTCTTAGCCACTGTGGCCAGTTGAGACACAACTTTGTCCATTCCGCTCTCAGAGGCAGTGGATGGAGAGGCAGCTGCAGCCTGTCTGCGGTTGTCAGCCTCCTTCATCTCCTTTGTGATGCCTCCGGTTGGTGTGGTAGCAACAGGGATATCCCTCGTCACTCCAGAAGCAGTGCTAGGATCCATTTTACCACTGGTTTTGGACCTGGGCTCAGAAGTTTTGGGGGTCCTCCGGGGATCCAACGGAGGTGTGGTGGGTTTGATGAATGGGTCTTTGCTGACAGAGGTAAAGGCGCTACCATGGGTGGAAAAGGTGCTGGACAGAGGGCTGGGTTGAGGTGGAGAAGGCCTAACACTGGATTGAGAGTCCTGTGCCTTTAAGTCTTTCTTTTTCGACTCTTCAGCTAGTGTTGAACTGGAGTCTTGGGCCATAATAGAGGTTGTAGGATTCTGTTCTGGGGGCTTGGCTGCAGCTTGCATTGACGGTGAGGTTGAAGTTTGTGTCTGAGACTGAGTGGTACTTTGGCTTTGTATCTGCAGTCCTCGGCTGGGCTGAGGTAAGCCTGGGGGTGCAACCATTGAGGACGTCAGTCCCAGTGTCGGTGGAGCTGCTGGACCCATCCTGATGGTATGGGGAGAGGCCATTACAGTTGTAGGCCTCAAGACATGGCTAGGAGGAACATAGCTTGTCCTGCGTCCATCTTGGCTATCTTCCGACCCTTCGTCTGTCTCATCCTCTGAGGAGTCCACCTCGTGGATGGCATCCTGCTTTTGAAGAGACTCGCGGCGCTCAGCTCGATCCTGGCGTATGGCAGACAGCTTGTCTTTCAGTTTACTCTTTCCAGGAACAAGTCCCAGAGTTCCAGTTCCAGACTCAGGACCTTCTTGCCTGCCCAGTTTACGAACTGAACTTTTCTGCAGGCTGCCCTTTTCTGCAGGAGACACTCTTCCTCCCATTAGAGTCTCACTGGCTGACTCCTGCAGGCTCTGTAGACTGGGGTCTCGCTGCATCATCTCTTTTTTAAAATCTGAATGTGAGGTATCAAGACTGTGTTTGCGGCTGGCACCAACTGGTAGCTTTTTATCAGCAGTAGAGGATGGAGAAGGAGACGAGGATGAAGAAGAAAGAGAGGCTGCGAGCTTCTCAGCTGATTGGACACGTTTGAGCAGAGGAGAGCGAGGAGGGTCTGCACTCTTTGGGCGGGATATCTGTCTTACTAATGGAGGTGAAGAGTGGAGTTTGACAGGGAAAGACTGGCCTATTGAAGAAGTGATGAGCGCGTGGCTTGGCAGGGGCGAAGGAGAACGCGGTGGGGAGGTGTTTTGAGGGGTGGGCGACGGTGTACGTGCCAAAGGGGATAAGGGGATATTGCCTGCTGACTTCCGGCGGGGGGAGCGGTACTGGCGCTGCAGTTTGGGAGCCAGACCATGCAAAGAGCTGGGTCTGATCTGTCCAGAACTGGCAGGAGAGTTTGGCACACTGGAGCTAGGTGAGCTACTTTGGGATGAGTTCCCACCAACTGCATTAGAGAAAGAGAAGTTTCAAGTTTAAAGATTAAACTTATTAAAGAAATATGAAGATGAATGAAATGGCTTGAGACATGATATTGATTACATTATGGGAAACTAATTACAATATTGTCTGTAGACGCCGCAATGTTAAATTAAATGAGAACATGATTTGACACAGCAATTTGTGTATACAATCACATTGGCAGTAGTTGGTTTGTATTATGTATATAAAAATATTTAAATACTGTTTGCTACTGTGATTACTGTTTTGATATAAGAGATAAAGAGATAAAGGCTTCACCTGAGTGGGCAGAGTCAGGAGTGGAACGACAGCCCTGCGTGGGTGAACGAGGGGACATGTGCGTGGGAGACCCTGGGACACTTTCACCTGATGAGACTGAGCGGTTCAGAGAGGACAGGCTACGACTGGTGTGGAGAAGGGTCGCTTGCTTGGTGATCTTACGAAACAGGGAGTTTCTCTTCTTACTGTAGTAGATAAGTATATACAAACCATTAATGGGACAGCAGATGTAAGCCCGAGGAATTGAAATCAGAAGAACTCTGTGGGACATAGGTATTGGATTTCATGGTAAATGTTAAACTTCACCTATCTTGTCCTTCTCTGGTTTTGGTTCTTTTGTTGCGCCGGGCCATTTTGGACTTGTAGCTGATTTTGCGTGCAGGGCCAACCTTAATAGATGTATTCTCAAAGGGCGTAGCAGAAATGGACACCTTACTGCCACTCTGCAACATAAAAAGAAATTAACCTAAATATCAATAATTTCTAAAACAACAATGCTCATCAGATTGTGGCTATCGACGTACTTTGAGAATGAGCTCTACAACGTCTGTGTGCACGAGTCCATGGACAGGCTCTCCATTAACATGTGTGATGAGATCTCCCTCTCTCAGTCCAGCCTCATGAGCAGGTCCCCCATCCTCCACGTGCTGCAAAGCCATATGTTAGAGCACTCAAAACCACAAATTGGTGCAGTCTAACTGTATCATGGAGAATAACTGGATCTGCCGTACTCACCCAGACCATGTGGTGCACAGTATAAATGTCTGTGTCTCCCATGTAAACCCTGATGGCACGCAGGGTGAAACCATATTTCTTGCCGGCTCGGTGAATGACTATGGCGGGTTTGACACTGCAGATGGCTGGGGAAAGGTCTCGGCTAGGCGAGGAGTCACGTGATGAGGGGTTGGACGAGAGAGAATGAGGGGACATGGGACTGGCCAAAGGAGAGGCACCATGGTGATCTGAAAAACAAGAAAAAAAGTAATTGCATCTCAGTTAAAGTTTGATAGACCGCCACATACATTTCTTCCAAAAGATAGAGACAGCCAATACAATAAAGTGACTAGTAAGACATGGTCCATGTTCGTCCTGGCACAATATTTTTTATTAACAAATCATAAGGATTGCAAAAGAATTAGGATTGTTAACCTATCGTCATATCATCCTATTGTTTAAGGACCAACAAAAGAACAAGTCTTGCATGGCAAAATCATGATGATCAATTATTTGTACTTACCAGCAGGGATCATGAGTGAAAGTGTAGTTGCTGAAGCGGACTTGATGACTTTGTTAAGTGGGCGTGACGTGTGCTTCTCCGTATCTCCTGACAGCAGTCTGTGGCGAGCTCTACGAGCTGCTAAATCACTGATGGCTTTAGGAGTGGAGTTTTCAGATCCTTCAGCACTGTAGCGAGAAGCTCGATCCAACACATCACTAGAACCACCAGCTGAAATCACACACACGAAAAATTAGCAGAGATATGTCTACAGAAAATGGCAAACTCTCAGAATGGCCCAATATGTTGTTATTTGAAATCATAAATCCCATTCATTTTTGTGTTTTTACACCTCATTAAGTCTAGGGCCTTAATAATACATAGTCTTAAAAATATTTTTAACATTTTAAAATACTAGTCCCCAGAATAATTCCACAAGACTGACGTGTGAGTGTGGATTGGCTGATCTGTCTGGAAGTGGAGCCTGGTGTGGTTGGCGATTCATCCAGTCTGAGCTCTCTCTCCACAGGGAGCTCTGGTATGGCCTGAGGCAGATCTTCCCCCCGAGGTCCCCTCACATGGGTCTTCCTGCCCCCCACACCACCATCCTCTTCGCTGGAAATGGCGAATCGAGGCATTTCGATGATGGCCGAGCAGCAGCGGCGACGTACGGTCAGAGGCGGGCTGGAGTCGCTCTCGGTGTGAGATGACTCGGAAACAGAGAGTCGCTTCCTTAGGCTACAAAAGACCAAATGACCAGTTCATTACACCATGTTGAACAAACATAGCTGTATATTTTTCAGAAATATCTGACTATGAAAACTATGATTTATTTATCAGAATAACTTCAGGTGTTTCACTCACATCTCAGGTGAGCCCACCAGCCAGCTCCGGTCTCGAGACTTTAGGCCACTGAGACTGTCGATACGCTCTCCTCCCTCTTCACTCAGACTGCGTTTAGTGGGAGGAGGAGTGCGCTTCTCCTCATGCAAGGAAAGACGCTCCATACTACTATACACCTAAAAATGGGAGACCAACAGGGAGTGATGGAGAGAATAAGACAGATTAAGTTATAAACAGTATAAACTGCTGAGGACACTAGATTAAACTTAAAATTAAGCAGAACAGATACCATGTCTTTATAATTATAACTTCTATTTTGCTATCCTATATATGCTATCCATATGCCCTATTATACTTCACCCTGCTTTGAACTACTGTGTACTACTTGGCATAATTATTTATTTTGATTATTATTAATACATAAACTATTAATTGAATGTCTTATATCATTGTTTTTACTGTCGTTAAGAATGTTAGCATGTGTTACTTCACACCTTGCTGAATCGTGGTGAACAGGAGGAGAACTGACGGATCTCCAGATGGTCATCATCATTTGTGTCATCCTCTTCCTCCGAGTCCATGTGATGATACCGATCTGAGCGTGCTAGCGGGTCGAAGAAAGAGATTTCAAATTGTGCTTTAGAGAATGTAGGCCCATGTGGTGTGCATCTGTATTGCAGGTAGAGAATAAAGTATCTTGTTATAAATTTCACTACAGTCCCTGCTGCCTGAACACGTACTGTCAAAGTAGCTAGTGTCATCCTCCGACTCCAGCTGAGGAATGAACTCTGCCTTCTGCCTCAGGAGACTGTTCCAGTCCAGATCAGTAAAAAAACGGTGCTGTTTCACCTCAAACGCACTCCCTGTGGGACAGGGAAAGAGAAGATCTCTTCAAATATTTCTCAAAAAACAGAGATATAGGATAACATTAAAGAAAAAGTCTTCTTAAGATTTTCTGTTCAGGTTTATTCATACACTATTAATCTCAGCAGATCAGTCAAGTCACTCCTCTAAGACTAAACCAGGGAATAGATCAAGTCAGAGTCTGTGCAAGTAAGTGTGAGTTTGTGCGCTAGAGGACCTGTTCCCAGACGCTCCAGAGGGTTTTGCCGCAGTAGTTTGGAGATGAGATCTTGAGCATCTGGAGGCAAAGCTTCATCACCTTCTGGCCAGATTATCTCATCTATTGAACCACACATACAGAATCATATTTCTGGAAGGACTCTCAAAAACATCAGAATTAGGTTCACAGGTCAGATTTCAGAGCATTTTTATATCTTAGACAGATGACACAAGAATAGGCTGATTTTAGGAGTCTATTAAGTTTTTCAAAATTAATTACTGACCGGTAAAGAAGATTGATTATCACTGATTAGGAAAGTACCATACCATACCATCACATACCATACAAGTCAAAAGTTTGGGCACTCATGTTTGTATAATGTATGCAATGTTTCTCATCATTAAATTTTTAAGAAAATAATGTTTTTTGCACTTTCTTCTAGACACTAACCACTGATGACTTGTCCAAACAGCTCCTCAGGCGTATCCCCAAAGAAGGGAGCACATCCCACGAGAAACTCATACAAGATAACTCCCATGGCCCACCAGTCCACTGGCTTTCCATAGCCCTGCCTCAGAATGACTTCAGGAGCTATGTATTCAGGAGTACCACACACCTGATGGAGAGAGAAAGAAAGAGTATCCTTTTATTAACAAAAATAAATAAATAAATAACAAATGCAAGAGACAAAATACAAAGTTTCTGTACCTGTTTGTCCAGAAATTCACGGGCATCTTTTTCAATGTGGCCCTCATATAGATTGGTTGTTAAGCTCATTAAACCAATCTTGGACAGGCCGAAGTCTGTCAGTTTGATGTGTCCCATTGATGTAATCAGCAGACTGTTGAAAAACAGGCCATTCTTTATTCTGACATCAGTGAATATAAAAAGGCCATCCATCCATCTAAAAAAAATTGCTGTCTAAACCAAAGCCAACTGATCTGTTATCAAGCATGTTTTTGTATTCTTTGAAAGTGAGATGGAATCTAAAGGACAAATAAAAAGCCTTAAATCAATGATAGAAAGTCAACTTTCCAGGTGGATGCTGCACACTGGTGGTAGTTGAGGAGATTCCCCCGCTTTCATGTAAAGCGCTTTGAGTACCCAGAAAAGCGTTATATAAATGTAACTAATTATTATTATTAACTACAAGCACAGTGGTTTGGTGTTACGTGTGCTTACTTGTCAGGTTTGAGGTCTCTGTGCACAATGCCATAATTGTGAAGGTATTCCAGTGCTAGAACAGTCTCAGCAAAGTACATGCGTACCATGTCCACAGGCAGAGCCCCAATGTGCTTCAACAAAGTGGCACAATCTCCACCTTCAGACACACATAAACACTTTCAACTACAGCATCACTCTGTGGTGTATCCTATACTGAAATCCTCCATGAACGTAGTCACCCAAAGTTGTACAAGTGTTTCTTACCCTCCACATACTCCATAACCATGCAAAGATGTCTCCTTGTCTCAAAAGAACAGAACATACTGACAACAAAAGGGTTCTCTGCAAATGTCAGGATATCTCTTTCCACAAAGGCCTGCTGGATCTGGTTTCGCAGGATCAGGTTCTGCTTGTTGATCTTCTTCATGGCAAATCGCTGACGGGTCTCCTTATGCCTCACCAGAAACACAGCCCTAAGTGGAGAGAGGTATGCATCACTATTAAGCTTCTAACTGTTTAACTGTCTTCTAACTCTACAATTATTAAAGACAAAGAGTGATGGAGAGCCAATAGATAATGACAAATTTCAAAGGTTTTAGCATTTCTAATCATTGATGTGACAGTGAAATCCTGTTGTCTTACCCATAGACTCCATTACTGATGAGTTTAATGGTCTCAAAGTCTTCCTCGCGTGGAGTTTTAGTTTTGGGTTGAGGCTGAGGCTGGAGTGGTTGTATGGTGGCTCCTCGACTCTGCACATGAACACAAACACTTGGTCTTAGTTGAATGTTACTGAACAGAGTCGACAGAATCATTGAAGACTTCTCAATTCTATTACACACTTCTGTGGAATCTGTCTCTGTCTCTGGCGTTTCAGGGTTACCGCTGTCATAGCTGCTCAGCTGGGTCATTTCTAGAGAGCGAGAGCAAAAAGAGGGAATGAAAGTGAGCAGGTGTCATTGAAAAACATCATAAATGTCATTGTAGTTCCTAATTTAGTACAGCAAAACAAATAATAACAGAGTTGCTTCATACAATCCCCAGAAGCTTTTGGACACTTATGTCACTTAAAGGGGTCCTATTATGCTCTTTTACAAAGTCTTGATTTTGTTTTGGGGGTGTACTAGAACATGCTCTCATGCTTGGTGGTTCGAAAAACACATTATTTTTCACATAATTTACATTATTAAAATACCTTTCTCCCCAGGCTGGCACAAACGGCTCGATTAGTTCCGGCTTTGATGAAGGTCCGCCTTCCGAAAAACAAAATGTGTTGTGATTGGTTAGCTGTCCCATTGCGTTGTGATTGGCGAACAGCTTAGACGGTGTTTCAGTACTGCCCCGCCCCTTGTTCCGTCTTTCAACAAAAGCTTTTGGCGAATCCAGCACTGTACTGTGTCATGTTGTGGAAGCTGTCCTCAGTAAAATGCGCAGCACACAATAGCAAATTGGGGTTATAATGCTCAGGGACAGAGTTAAAAAAATAAATTGCAACCACTGTTTCCTGACATCATCCGCTTTCGGAAGCCCAAACAAAGACGTTGGGGCACGGAGGTGAAAAAAACAGCGTTTCAGGCAGTCGCGCACCGGACGAGAAGCGCAGCGTCGCGCCACGTCTTTAAAATTCAAATACATTATTTTCTATGAGTGTAGGCACACCGGCGGCGCCGTTCGGCGTCTGTCCGCGGCGCCCAGCTACGTCGTGTTATACTTGTAAGAATTGTTCTAGACAAGCGGTTCTCAATTCCAGTCCTCGCGTACCCCCGCTCTGCATGTTTTGCACGTCTCTCTTTGTTAACACACCTGATTCAGATCCACTGACTAAAATTAAAAAAGTGAAAAAGCATAATAGGACCCCTTTAACTTAAAAATGTATGCCAATGCATTAGATAACAAAATATCAAACCAACTAGCATTTATTTTCTGCAGATGACACATTGTCTGTACATCTCATACAATTTTTAAAGGGGTCATATGATGCGATTTCAAGTTTTCCTTTCTCTTTGGAGTGTTACAAGCTGATTGTGCATAGATAAGATCCCCGAAGTTGCAAAGACTAAAGTCTCAAAACCAAAGAGATATTCTTCATCAAAGTTAAGACTCTGCCACGCCCCCCTAAAACGGCTCGTTCTAACACGCCCCCACATATCTACCTCACTATGTGGAAATATTAGCATAATGCCGCCCAAATGTGCACGCAAAGAAAGAAGGCGTGGTTTCAGTAACCGCTTAGTGTTCATATGCTTTTGAGGCCACTGTAGGTAGCATTCCTACCCTCAAGGGGGTCCCTGGTGAGGCCCAGCTGGCTGATAATGTATCGAGGGATGTCAGACTTGATGCCCTGACCTTCTTTAGCATGACCTTCAGCAGCCTCCAACAGGTGGTAGAACTCCTCTGGATTAAACTCCTACAACACACACAAGGAGTATGAGGTTCACATGATATGAAGATTAAAATTTGACATCAATCCCCAATCATTTAATTTATTCTAGAAATGTTAGTCTTTAACAGGGGCCGGGAACCTTTTTTGACCAAAGAGCCAATTTTTTTTATTTTTGGTTAATGCATTTTTCCAAAAGAGCCAATATATATTGTTGTCACGGTACCAAAATTTCAGTATTCGGTACCAATACCAGTGAAAATCCACGGTTCTCGGTACCAAAGCAAAACACAAAAACATGCTAATTAAAAAATTTGACTATACTTTCATTTAATCCAAACTGTGTACATATTTAATTTTAAAGGGCTTTTAAAATCTTTTATTCAGCTAAGAATAACAACTAAGTTAGCTAAAAAAAAGCCCAGAACTGCTTTTCTGACTGATATAACACAAACAATGTTAACCATTTGTACATTCTCTAACACGCATATTTTAGATTCACAATTCATTTAAAAGCCTCTGGTGTGTAAAAATAGCAAATATCATCATGTCCTCCTGTTTTTTAACCCTAATAAAAGTTATAGGAGCATTAAATAGTTAATAAAGAAACTTAATTCTAATGCTCATTATATTAGCGTTAGCCACGCTTATGCTAACGATTAACTACTCTAATAACAGCGTTCATTAGGGCTGCACGATTAATCGAATGCGATTGTCATGCGCATTTTGATAGTAATGCAGGTTCTGTAATCAGCAGGAAATCATCATCACGTGCATTCAGATAGAGCAGAATTTACTACACATAGCCGCCGTAGTAAATATCATAATGTCCTCCTGTTTTTTTTTTTTTTACCCTAATAAAAGTTATAGGAGCATTAAATAGTTAATAAAGAAACTTCATTCTAATGCTCATTATGTTAGCGTTAGCCGCGCTTATGCTAACGATTAACTACTCTAATAACAGCGATGTTCATTTCAATCCGACATTCAAATTAAAACATTGAATAATATTCATAACAGAAGCGGTGTTTCCCACAGACTTGCACTCTATTTGTGGCGGCATATATATGCAAATTCATTCTCTGGCAGCAGGAGGCGCTTGTAGAGCGGGAGAGAGAGAGGTTTCCCCAGTAACGGTTATAATCAAATAAGCGCTAGGGATGGGCAATACCTCTTATTTTATTTTAGATCCGATACCGATATTTTCAAGCCCAGTATCGCTGATATCGATATCGATACCTCTAAACTAAACTGATCCTTAAGTATTGATACTTTCGATACTGATGTTGTATCTAAAGGATCGATCCTCACATAAAAATATCGATTCTAAAGTGCATTTTTTAACCATTCATTTTATTTATTTATCAAGAAATTCGGTGCATAAAAAAAGCTAAGTATATTAGCGAATAATTGTGTTGGATAGAACCATTTCTCCTGCTCATCGGAACACATGCAAATGCTGAAAGACAAAACCAATCAATCACAGACAGCGTTCGCTGCTGACGCATGGCTCAGAGTGCTTGTTTAAATAGGGCTGCGTTTCCCAAAAGCATCAGAAGCATAAGTAGATCTTAAGAAACCATTGCCACATTATTACATTAGCCTACCTTCTGAACGCTAAAATGACAAATGGGACACCCTACGGTCTCGTGGACTTAACGGACACGCGAACGCGGCAACCATTGTAAGTCCGTAAGACAGCAAGTGCACATGAAGTGTTCCATTTGGGACAGGGCTAGGGCGAGCTCCGCAGCAGACTTCTACCCGACAGTCAATGCGGCATTACGTCACGAAAGTGCGGACTCAGAGGAAGACCGTGAGGGTTTAGGGTGCCATTTGGGACAGGGCCAAAGTCTATGCTTCTCCGTGTTCCACTCGGACTTCGCACGCAGAAAACATGGTCAGAAGCGGATTAAGTTCCGTTTCGCGGCTTTGAGTTTTTAATACTGTCTGCCTTCAGGAATGTCCTGCTCTTTACTGTCTCATTCATTCACATTCTTTTATTAATAACACTAACAGTCCCACCCGCTGAAAGCTGCATACTGGCTCTTGGCACAGGAGAACACCATCTTCTATAAAACGAAGTATATGTTTCAGTCCTGTCACTTTTTTTTTTACATACTTTTACACTTTTTCTGCTGTTCAAAAAAATCTTTCTTTTCGCTATTACCACAAAGCTACGAATCTGAGTGCAGGAGCTGTACGTTACCATAGTACCCGACAGTCAATGCGGCATTACGTCACGAAAGTGCGGACTCAGAGGAAGACCGTGAGGGTTTAGGGTGCCATTTGGGACAGGGCCAAAGTCTATGCTTCTCCGTGTTCCACTCGGACTTCGCACGCAGAAAACATGGTCAGAAGCGGATTAAGTTCCGTTTCGCGGCTTTGAGTTTTTAATACTGTCTGCCTTCAGGAATGTCCTGCTCTTTACTGTCTCATTCATTCACATTCTTTTATTAATAACACTAACAGTCCCACCCGCTGAAAGCTGCATACTGGCTCTTGGCACAGGAGAACACCATCTTCTATAAAACGAAGTATATGTTTCAGTCCTGTCACTTTTTTTTTTACATACTTTGCGCCACTAAAGACAAAGGCCCTGTCCCAAATGGAACACTTCATGTGCACTTTCAGTCTTGCGGACTTATAATGGCCACCACATGCGCGTGTCCGTTAAGTCCACGAGACCGTAGGGTGTCCCATTCGTCATTTTAGCATTCAAAAGGGTGCTCGCGAGCGCCCCCTTTGTGGCCGTTATGCGCCCTCGATACGCACTTCTACCGAGCCCGCACTGGTGCAAGCTCCGCAGCAGACTTCTTCCCGACAGTCAAAGCGGCATTACGTCACAAAAGTGCGGAGAAGTATATGTTTCAGTCCTGTCACTTTTTTTTTTACATACTTTTACACTTTTTCTGCTGTTCAAAAAAATCTTTCTATTCGCTATTACCACAAACAAGCTACGTAGCAGCTTGAATCTGAGTTTATTAGCTCTACGTTATCAGTTTGCTATCGTGACTCTCGCGAATAGCACTGAACGCGCACTTTTCGGTACAAAAAAATTTATTATTATTTTAAAGATTTTATTAGCTTATGTAGTCTCTACAACCAATGAATTGCTGATCTCTAGTGATGTATAATTTTTGTAATAGATCATTTGTTGGTAAAGGGTGAGAGATCTGACGAGCCACATGATTTATGTCAAAGAGCCAGGTGTGGTTCGCGAGCCATAGGTTCCCGACCCCTGCTCTATAACATATAACATATTTTTTTACATTTTTGATGCTGTCCAGAATAGATCAAACATCAAATACTTCAGAGAAAATTTTAAAATGATGATATTACTTGTTTCTTTAATCCTAGTTCCAGTCAAATATTTATAATCATTATATTCATAGGATTCATTATATTCATTCATCTTTACTTTCTCAACATTTTGTAACAGGCTAAAAGGTCATCTTATTCAGGGTCATTCACACAAAAAGATGAAATAATGCCAAATATGCATTTTAACAAACTATCATTTAAAAATTAAAGAACAGAAAAAATAAGAGCCAAACAAACAAAAGGCACAGCAAGGGCTAATATTACTGTCATTAACTTAATGAACAGTTTAGAATATTTTTTGTGTGCTTATTGAGGCAGGTATGTCTCCAGGTGCCACACTGAGATATTTGCGATGCATTGTGCACACATGAAGCAGAAAAGGTTAACAGCTCATTGCTCTCTCAGCTGCTGGTCCTCCATCAGTGCTGAGCTGTACTGTATGTTGTCATACTACTGAATGCACAAGATTACTCAAAATACACATGTGGCCACAGACATGGAGTCCTGTAGCTTTGTGTGGAAGTCAGCTTTTGTGTTTACGTGTTTCCATAATGTCTGGTGTGATTTGTTTTTAACAATTCAGCGAATCTGACAAATCACTGTGCATTTTGAAGGTTTACAATGTGGCCTTGATTCAACATGCACATCTCCTCCAGGTAAATCTAGCTTTTTAATTATATGGTACTAAGCATGTGCTTCATTTACTATGGAAAAGCAGTTTGCACTGAAGCCTCAGTACAAATAATGTCCAGTTTAGAGTCCCTTAAATTATCAGTGCTTACCAAACACTCCAGCAGACGAGCGGGTCGGGCGATGATTATCATCAGCTTTTTAACCAGCTGGGTGACAAATGTCACCTCCCCACTTTCTGAACGCTCATGAGCCTAGCAACAAACAGAGAAAACAATAGATTTGAAATAGCATACTAACATACTAATCACAGTATTCAGTATGTATCTGTGTACTTTATGAATTGAAAACCTTAATGATCTATCTACATTTGTCAAAATAAGCATAATACAAATTAAAGCACACTGGGTGGAATATTGTATCCTAAATGTAATGTTCTTAACTTGACCTTCCACTTTCACAGTGACGAATGAGCAAGAAGCTGATATCAGAAGCAATATCAGTCGAGATTTTTTACACTCAAAGCACTACAATGAGGGATACTGGGATAGTTAAATGAAGTGTACAAAAAGAGTACATAAAAAGGAAGAGTGTAAAAGGAGCAGAAAGGAGAGAGTTCATCAATAGAATAGAGAAGAGCCGTTCAGAGTAGATGGTTGGCTGACAGTAATAGAGCCATCTCTGACAGACAGCACAGCCACCTCAGGGGATGTCTAATCAGCCTCTGAATTATTTATACAGGTAATGAAACTGCCAGTGAATCGCACACACTCAGGATAATAAAGGGCCTCTACACTGAGTAAATACACTGTAGACAGACAAGTAACAGCAGTGAGAGATATAGGATGAGGGAGTGATTTGGTTTAGCACACCTAAAACTAGATGAAATGAGATACTCTATACTCAGCTATACATAAGGTCAATAAGGTCAAGCGTACATAAGGTCGATAGAAGATCCTCAGGATTCCTCTAATGCCAGACGTCATGGTGATAGCCAGGTCACTTAAGTGACCCGGCCTTGAGATTGGCTCCTGTGGTTTTTAATGATGCAACCATGGGAGACTGAATGATATAGACTGATCATTTAAAAAGGTAAAACTAGTCTGACCTTAAGACAAATGTCCAATTTAATAAATAAAGCCTATAAACGAGGACAAAGAAAAAGGCAGTTCAATAGCGAAAGACCTTATAGAAAAAAACAAAAAGACAAAAAAAAAAAGAGAAGATGAATGGAACTGTGCAAGATATACCTGTACCATATCAGTTATGAGCCAATATTAGTGATTTTGTTTTAATTTATTAGTATTGGTCAATATTAAATATATATTGTCAGACATTTAATTGTACATTTTATATATTTTTTAAATTATTATTATTATTAGTTTCAATACAAAATAGTGTAGAATTATAATCACTGTCATATAATCAAAATTTGTATTATATTGTTGGTATCACTCAGAATGTTAAGAACAGTGCATCCCTTATATTATGGACTAAATTCTGTTTTAGGTGTCATATACTATACTCTGACAAATATTTTAAAAACTTTCTACAATTCACTATTTGATTAAAGTAAACAATAGCAGGTGAATTATCAGGCATAAAAATATTCTAGTTACAGTCCATATTTTGAGTGTTAAATTGTCATACCACTGGTGTGTCCACAATTTAACAACATAAAACAGCATCTATCAGACTATGACCTACTCAATGCAACTCTGCAAAGTAAAAACAATCAGGAACTCAACTGTTAGATCCACATGGTTTCTGAGCGTGCTCTGCACCCAGCGCTCTAAAATCTGCTGAAGAACCTCCTCTTCCTCCAGCCGCCTCTGCCACGAAACGCAGGACATCCTCTGAGCGAGTGAGGAAGCGTTAAATGGAGAAGTCGGGAATGCTTTTCTGAGCACACCTGCTGAAGATGCGGTTTATACCACGATCCCCGTCTGGCCCACCTGTCACCATCGGCTCCCAAACTAAATAAGCCAATTAGCACGGGCTGAATGATGTCATCCATACTCGCCTGAATGCCAAGTATGGATGCGGCAATAGCTCGGCGAATGCATGAGATCACAATGTGCACATTTTCGATTCTGGTAGGCAATAGCAACGAGATGGTTATGGACTGCCAACCGAAAGAGGGGAAAACCTGACCTGATCCCTCCTTCCATTCTCACTCCCTCCCTTTCTCTCTCTCCCCGCACCCTCCTCTTGGGTGCCTGGGATACTCATCCGTCACCAGTGGTGGTTACTGGAGTGTGAAATTAAAATCAGGAAGGTGCTGCCCCCCCCATTCCAACCCTACACAACAAACACACACTCTGGTACATTCCTGCACACATGATTTGTGGATTTGGAACGGGACCTCTGGGAGTCATAACGCTGCCCCTGTGGTATTGTGACTAAGCTAATCAAGACATCAGCAACCTGTATCCTGACTAATGCAGATGTGACAGGTGACCACAGACTCAACAGAAGAAAGAACGATCGTCAGGGAACCAAAATCACACGAGTTGTTTATGACAGCCCAGCTGTCCAGAGATGACCTCTTCCCCGATGCGATGACATCACCACTTTGACTGACATGGATTTATGTTTAGGGATCCACAAGAAAGACCTTGCATGACAAGGAGTTAATACCCTTGAAATAAATGCCGACAACTTCCTACATACTCTCCACATGTGGCTATCTTTGCATACTCACATCTTGGTGTAGCTTCTCAAAGTTCTCCTGTAGTTCGTAGAAGTAGCGGGAGGTGATGAGACCCTCACGGGATTTGTCCAGGCAGTCCCGAGACAATTCTATGACCTGGTGGTGGATGAAGCTCAGGACGCCATCAGCTAAAGGCATGACTTTGTCAGGAGCTGAGGAGGATATGAAATCAGCCAGCCGTTCCTCCATCTGAGCAGTAGCCTGTGGGACAGAAGGGTCCTGGTAAGGGCTGGGTTGAAACAAAGGCCAAGCCATGGAGAAAGAGAGGTATCCAGCCATCCACAATGTGTTACTGTACATTTATTCAAACACACATTTTATTTATTTATTTATTTAATTTATTATTATGATTTTTTTTTTTTTACAAAATTTTCAAACTCTTTTATTTAAAAAATAAAGTAAGTCTGATTGCTTTTTATATTATGCATATAGGCAATGATAAAAAAAAACTGATATTTTTTTTTTTTTACAGATATCAAGCAACAGAGTTATTTATTTATCATTTCTATTATTTATTGTCTGTACACATTGATGCTAATTAGTGTCTTGCTGTTTTTATTTATTTTAATGTTAAACATTGTGTTTATTTATTTTTATTTTTAATGTATATTTTATTTAATTATTTATAATTATTGTTACTATTATTATTGTTAATACATTTATATTATATTCAGTTATTATTCTATTAACATTCTGGCACCTTATTTTTATTAATAATAAAAAAACAATTATTTCTCTTTTCTTTTTGCTATGTGTATTGATGCTCTGGCAATGCCATGTCAAAAAAGTACTTTATTGTGTGAAAATGAGACTTATCCAGTGTCCTTGAGTTGTGCAAGTTCATCAGTTTTAGACCTCACCTTAGGGAAACGCTCCTTGTAGACATGGTTCATCATGACGATCTCATGGTCAAATGATATGGGTGAGCGTCCAGGGCTGAAGACGAGAATAAAGAAACAAAAATAAGTGAAGAAAGAAATAAAAAATGGGACTTAGCCTTTCATCTTTTTTTAACCAATCATATGTTTTCAACCCCAATGTCCCTCTTCCTTCAAGCAGATGTTGCTTGGTGGCCTATACCTGTAATCTAATGTGGATGATAGACTGGAGCACCTGTATTTTCAGACATATCCATTCATGTCAAAGTAGTATCTTCAATCAGAAATGCTCCACAGGGAATACTGAGAGATACAGCTTGTGTAGATAAGCGAGTATGTGTGCGTTTCAGTCAGGGACACAGATTACAGATGCAGCTGGGACCGCATGAGTCACTCCTGTTAGTAAAGGTAAGCAGGTCATGTGACCTCAAGGATGAGGTAATGCTGTAAGTCATCAATCGAAGGCTTGCGCTCCCTATTAGACCTCCTGATTGAATGAAAACATACTAACCATAGCACATTTGATCAACCTCCAGGGTGCTGTTGAGAAATGCGCCAACACACACACTTACACACTAAATTGGCTCATTTACAGCTATGTCAGTAACAATAAGAGACGGGAGAAATATTCTAGTCAAATCTTCAACTTACTTGAGAGCCATTTCAATCAAAAATTACGATCCGGCCACGGCCAAAGGTTAACTCTGACAGAGATTGATTCGCAGCCGAAGGGAGCTGCATTAACAACACACTAAGAAAATTTCTCCTGCTGAGTGAGGTAGAGAGAAAAGACAAGGGAAAATGAAAGAAAGAAAATGCCTTAGAGCAATCCTCTTATTAAATAAAGAATTTAGTGTGTGCAAAGAATCAAAGTGAACTTCCTGCGGCGCAATAACATTCTGCATTTAGACTGATGATAATTAGTGAATGCAATTATTTTTCTCTGATGGACGCAGATATGTCCTTGCAGCCCCAAAAATAATAATGTTTTTGAGAAATGACCTTGTAAAAAGATTCTCATTATCGTTTTAAACCAAATGGGTTAACTGAAATAGATGTACTGTATATGTTCTGTGCAGGAACATACCGGATATAACAGAGGAAAGGACAGCTATTCTTATTGTTAAGGGGCAAAAGAATAAAGAGTGTTCACATATGTTAGAAAGTATAAAAAGAGAAATAGAAGTACAAAAGGAGCGGAACAATATTTGAACAAGTTCCCAACTCTAAGTATGAAACTTTGACATACGTTCATAATCTGTTACAGCTTTTTAATGGTAGCCATGTTCTTACTTTTCCAAGGAATTTAGATTTTTGTGTCCGAATATGCCCATTCCCTAATATATTGTACACAAAAAGCAGTCTATAAAATGTCAAATGTAGTATGTCTGAATATTCAGCATTCTCAAAACTGGAAGCGGACAACATCCGAATCACCTACTACTTCCATAAAGATTCTGAAGTGCAAAATGCACTTCCATGTCAGTAAATTTTTTTGAAAGAAGTCTGTTACAACCAAGGCTGCAAGTCTTTGATCAAAAATATCTTCTTTTATCTTCTAATATATCTTTTGTAGCACGGTAGTGCATTATGTCTGTATTGTATTCATACATACACATGCGCATACACGTGCATCTCAATAAATTAGAATGTCGTGGAAAAGTTCATTTATTTCAGTAATTCAACTCAAATTGTGAAACTCGTGTATTAAATAAATTCAATGCACACAGACTGAAGTAGTTTAAGTCTTTGGTTCTTTTAATTGTGATGATTTTGGCTCACATCATAATTATTGGATGAGAATTTCTTTATCAACATCATAGTGTTGATTTTTGTACAAGCAATCACCTCTCATACTTTCTTTATAAACTAAAAAATTGAAAGTTTTCTGAAAAGTATGTGAAGACTGAGATAGATACTATCACATGGAACAAAAGGCAAACAAAGGAAGGGACTGCCAGAGAGAGAGAAAGAGAGACAGAGGAGGGGAAGAGAGTGTGTAAATGTGTCACAGTTGAGCACAGAAATTACCTCTAAATCCCTCAGAGGAGCTGGAAACCAGGGAAATCAGCTAGTTAATTGGTGTGACAGTCTGCACTAACACAAACACACACACAATTGGATGACATCACCAACAAAGCCACATGCACCATCGTAGTCATTTCAGACACATTCTGATTTTACATTATGTGAAAGTTTAATCAGAATTAACTGTAGCGTCTCGACCAATCTGACACACTAATTTTTATTTGATTTAACAAATCAATTATTCATTAGATTAACTAATCGTCACAGTCCCCTCACTCAATAAACTGGATGCCAGGATTTCTGCAGAACACCAGGCCCCCTTGTCACCATGACAACTAATCATGATATCACTGGTTTTATGACCCCCCCCAGGAATGTGAGTAGAATAACCCACTCATTGTCCCCATAGGAAAGGCAGAGTAGAAATGGACTTTTCTACTAATTAATTCATAGGAAAACCTTTCTTTGAATGAACACACATCATCCTTCAGGTCATTGGGTATATTATTGTCATCGTGTATTTGGTCTTTGAAATTGTATACTGTTATGCAGACTTATAATCGAAACACAGTTGACCCTGAGAGGTCAAGTAAATATCTACAGCGGATCTAAATATTCATAATTAATTATAACTAGTTATGATTAATTATTCATATTTCCTCATGAGCTGATTCGTTACATAACATATTAATTTAAAGAAAAAAAAAAATGGCTTGGCTAGCCAGAAGGAATCCAGAAATTGTCCAATGTATTCTGTCACTGAGTTCTTTATTAAAATAATATTCTAATCTCCGGCTACTGCTACCAAATCACTTGACATATGGATGATGGGTGGTGACCACTGTACGTTGAGCTCATTACTCCTTGAGTGTGTGTTTGAGTGAGTTGAAAGATGTAAAGAGAAAGAATGATGGAGAACTGTGAATGACCACTGCATGAAGAAACGTCCGTCAATTTTCTCTGCATGTCTGTTGTCCGTGGCGTGAAATTAGCATAATACTGCTCCATTTCCTCATCTCTAATTAACCAGTTCTATCTAATCTCCCCCTGCATCCAGTCGTTTCATCTTTCTCTCCCTTCTTTCAACAGTAGAAATGAATAATCCTGGGAAGATGTAATCTGTGGCAACAGCAAACCACACTACCTCATCCAATATTTATGGATCTAATTCTGGAGTGCTGAACCCCCTGCTGAGTGTGTCTAGATACTAAAAGAGGCAAGGCCAGTGTTTCCTGAATAAGTCATCTTAACAGAAAGAGAGAAAGAGCCAGAGGGGAAAGAGAGAGAGGAAGAGAGATGTGTTTACAGATAAGAAGCTCATAAAGGAGGTCTCTTTCTTAGCGTTGAGAAAGAAATGATTCAGTCTGTCAGGTCCTGGGCAGAAGTGTGTGTGACTACTAGAGTAATCACACAACTCTTCTGCAGTGAAAGAGAGTACATAAGAAGAATCCAGGTCACACATAAAAATCAAAAGATAAAATATATGCATATTTTATATTTCACAAAGACTTTGAAGCCTATTGTAGGACCATTCAGATTTTATTTATGGATTTATTTTTTTGGATAGCGTGACATATTTCTTAGATTTTATTTTCATAACAACTACATACATTTCCCCTCTATTGTTCACATTAACCGAGATGAATTTGGACATTTAACTTGAGTTTTTTTTTTTTGTTTGTTTGTTTTAAATACTACCTTTTAAAAATATATATAATTTTATAGCTTGTAAATATGTTTCTTTTAAATTCAATAATTACAGATTTTTATTTATTTTTTGCTTTACAGTAATGAGAACTGGTGGACTTAATTCATTAAATTAATTTCACAATGGAAAAAAAAATAGATTTCTCATCTTTTTTTTTTGGGGGGGGGGGGGGTTGAAATATGACTTGGACACATTGACAGGCAGAGAGAAGCAATAGTAAAGTGTGAAGGCAGAGGAGTGAAGATGCATCAATGTGAAGGGCACACAGGCTGAATAACATATCTGCTACCTTGGAGGAGTCAAAAGTCTAGAGAATGAGGTGTGGCAGTTTCCTGTCAGAGCTCAAGATTTGGCCTTTAAGAGTGAGAGCCAGAAGGCCCAGATGACATCACAGACTCACAAAATCATGTTCACTTGAAGGGCAACTTTTGATTGCTGTGAAATGGGAATCTGTGAGTGATTGTACCTGAGACTGCGGGAGCGTGGCCGCATGGCTGGAGATCTTCTCCCATCCTCATCCGTGATGCTCTCCGAGCTGAAGTGTTTGGTGAGGAAATGCAGCTCATCTGCAGTGGGCTGGAAGGGCAACTGGTGCAGCTTTTCCTGAGATGAACATGATGACTGTGAGAAGCAGAGAGGGAGGGATTACAAGGATAGAAGGCATTGCATAGGCTGCCCTGACTGTCAGTCAGCTGCCTTTGTTGGCATAATGTTGTTGATTGTTAATTTGGCTCTTGGCAAGAAATTTTTCCTAAAAACTTTTAGGTCAAATGCAAAAAATACTGAAAATAAAAGACTTAGTTTAGCTACAGTAATATATATATATATATATATAAATGTTCATTTTCAACTTATAATAAGTTACTAATTATATTTTGCATAAAGAAAGTGAAGCCTAATTTTAGGACCATTAAGCCTTTTGGCATTGTGACATTATTTAACTTCTTATTAATTTAATACTATAAAATAAAAAATCCTTCTCATTCCTATAATACATAATGATAATTGCCATTAATGTCACATTGTAAAAAATCTCAATGACCATAACAATAGGCTCCATTTTCTTTATAATATAATTTCTTATTTCCGTTTTTGTGAGCTTCACCCAATTAAAAAATGACATTTGTTCTTAATCAGTAGATTTTTTTTCCCCTTTTGTTTAGAGTTGAATAAAAGCTCTGCAGCCTTTAGAATAAAAATTTGGCCTAAACTAGAAAATGTATTTTTATCTTTCTGCAGAGAATGGGGCTTGTGAGGTTTGAGCTGATTCTCCAATGAAAGCAACAGCCAGACTGAGTTACAGTCAATTTTCAGGGACAGAACTCTTTTGAAGTGAATGCACTGACATGAAGCCACTGGCTTCACTTCAGGCTAAAGGGAGCTGCTTTGTACCTAGAGTTTATCCCACTGTAGGGTCAATAGGATAAAACTTTTGGGTAAGTTAAGGCTTCGGATCAAATGCAATACCAAACAGTGATGTATATATCTGGGGGTTGATACATCACAGAGGGACTACAGAAAGAACATGAGCACAAACACACACAGACACTCACCGAGACTGTTGAGCTTGGGGTGTTGGTTCCATAGCCAGAGGATGGCAGAGAGGCGAGAGACCAGCGACGACCATCCGTCCTAAAAGAGTGGATGAGGGAAAGGTGAAAATTTGTTCTTTACAAATCACTGCAGATATTCTTCAAAGTAATCAGGACCAGTAGAAATAAGCAGCACTAGGAACGTTCAGATGAGCAACGATAAAATATCTCACGATCAGAGCAGAATAAAGCACCACCGATTAAAATGTCCACAATAACTGACATTTGAACAATAATGATGATTGTTACATTCAACTGTGCAGCTCAATAAGGCTTGTATACAAGAGCCATAAGCATCTGCAATAATGGCTAAGCTGCCCGCACAGGAACTTACACGTACTTTTATTGCAGATACACATATGAAGCCTTTTCATGCAAATAGCACAGTGTGAATTTGCCCTACGTGGCATGATGCAACAGCAACACATTCACTTATCCCTCAAGCACATAAACCAATGATGACTGACATTAGGAATTTAACAGACTGTCAGCGTCCCTTTAATTTGACAAAATAAGGAACTTTAATCTGTTTGACCCCTGACTGCAATGTGCATTGCGCAAAACATACACAAGACTGTAATGATTTTAATATCAATCACAAATAAGCAAACAAGCAAATAAACACAGTTCAAAAGTTTTCTTTCATTTTCTTTCTTTCTTTTTTGAAATAAATTAATACTTTTATTCAGCAAGGGTGCATCAAATTGATTAAAAGTGACTGTAAAGACATTTTTAATGTTACAAAAGTTTTCTATTTCAAATAAATGCTGTTCTTTCGGAATTTTTAACCATCAAAGAATTAAAAAACTATCTGTTTCCACAAAAATATTAAGCAGCACAACTTTTTACCACACTGATAATAATAATAAATGTTTAATGACCAGTAAATCAGTATATTAGAATGAATTCTGAAGGATTATGTGACACTGAAGACTGGAGTAATGGCTGCTGAAAACTCTATAAGCTATCACAGGAATAAATTATATTTTGAAATATACTGAAATAGAAAAAGGTTATTTTAAATTCTACAAAATTACAATAATATTTCAAAATATTACTAGTTTTACTGTATTTTTGATTAAATAAATGCAGCCTTGGTGAGCATAAGTGAGTTCTTTCAAAAACATTAAAAATTTTTTACAGAAACCAAACTTTTGATTGGTAGTTTACATAATCATAAATCATTTTGATGCAAAAATACCCCACAAGAAAACACATAGCCAAAATGTTGCCATATTTTTTTCTTTTCTTTTTTTTTTTAACTGCGAAAAGTATTTATTTATTTTTGTGGAAAATAAAATGATTTATGCAAAGCACAGAAATCTGTGGAATATTTTTGAAGATGATATATCAGTTCTAAGCACACAGTCAAGCTTTTTGTATCCAGCCAGCTGAGTGAGGTGGGATGATTAATAATTTATCTTTCCGATACATAAATGAAGTTGTCTGAGATGTTTTTAAACAGATCTGACTGTCAGCTCTAATGAAATGGAAACATGATGGTTGGTGTAAACAGCCATGCTGGAAGCACACACAGGAAATGATGTTGTAAGAGAAGTGGGTAATTATTACCTGTCAGCCCTGTGTCCATGGCTGTATGGAAGAGAGTAAAGCATTAAAAAGTGATTCTACTGTGAGGGCATCTATGTGTGTGTTTGCACTGATCTAATGCACTATTTTCATGACCTTTACTCAAATGCTCTTTGAGTGAAAAACTCTTGCTCACGTTGGACGCAGAATTCATATACACCCAGACTGGATTCTTATCTGTAAAACCATCTGCATTATTATAGTGCTGTACTGTTTCCATTAGGTGGCACTGTTGGTTCATGAGTGTTTTGGACTGGATGACTCAAATGGTCTTGCTCTATGGCTGACATTCAAACGCATCCTTTTAATTAAGCCTGGGGTCATCAGCTCTGTGTGTTCTCTCCCAGTTGTTAAAGCATTACCATCTTTTGCTGCTCAATTACCAATTCAGATGCACTCGTTAACATTCTTGGTGTCATTATTCATAGCCATAGTGAAGGGTTATGGGATATTACAAATTGATTGAAAGTGGGTTGCTTAATAACCTGCAGATGAGAAGCAAATTATGACAACAATATTTGCAAAAGGAGCAAAGATATATTGCTTGCTCAAACTTTAATTTGGAAACATTTTAAAAGACTGTAAAAGTTTTATTAAAACTCACTCCCAGAATGTGGAATATTTTACAATTAAATGTCTTGTATGTTGTATAAGATAAACTAATAAACTGTGGGAGATTGACCTTTGACTTCACTCACCTGCGAGCTGGCACAAAAGAGAAGTGGCCTGCAGTGTTTGGAGAGAAATTACGTGGGCTGTCCAATGGGCTGCTTCCTGAAAGAGACCAAAAATATTACATTTAGGGAATTGTTTACAAAAATTTAAGGTAACAAAACCCTTTAGAAGAGTGGGCTTCTTATGTAGGCCGCATTGAGAGCAGAGGTACAGGGATAAAACACACTTTGATCACAGTCTTTTCTATTCTCCTGCACAGCTCTCTGAGAATAGATTAGAGCTTAGAGAGTGAAGCACTTACAGTGTTTAAGTGCTTTAGACAACAGGCCGTTCCATCAAAAATGCCTCAAGTGGAGTGATATTGCATAATGAATGTTATTTAATGATTTGCAGACCATGAGCAAAGAATCCTTTTTTGATTAATGCAAGCTCAAATTCATATTCAGGGGATTTTGCTAAGAACGAACTCTTTATCTCTATTCCAGTGGTATTTAAATGGCGAGAAGATTTCATATCCTGGGCTTTTTCACAGTGTGGTAAATTTTTACATCACAATTTAAGATGAAATACATAAAGAGTATAGCTAATAGATTAAGACATACATGACAGCTATGAGTCATGTTACTAGATAAAAAAAAATAAGAAAATTTGATCTAAAAACCACTATTGCTAGTCGTGTGAAATAATGAGCACAGATACAGGTATCATCAATCAATCCAGTCAATCTGAGCAACGGGGCGCTCCTATCTGGACTGTGTGGAACGGCTCGGGTCACAATCCCCCATGCATTAATGCATTTCGTCAAGCAGCCTATGCCAAATCTTAAATATTAATGAGAGCATAATTCTTTGTCAGGAAGTGACTGTAGGAACAGCTGCGCACAGCTGGACTGGGACACGGAGCAGTGTGGATCTGTCACGGAGATGCATTCATTTCAAGGAGAATCCAGTCACTGAGAGAGTGGGAGATGGCACAATAGTGTGCTACACAGTGAAGCACCAGCTTATTTTTCATCACGAAGACTGTAGTAGATGAAGGGTTCGCTAAAGAGATGCAGACACTCTTTCATACAATGCACAGCTGAGAGAAGAAAACTAATCAGCACCCTGTTGAATCACACATGCTATATTCACACCACAGCTGAATGTGGTACGGATGAGGTTTTTGGATGATAGTCTGAAAAATCACACAGAATCTGACATTTTCAACTTTCATATGTGGAAATAAACATATTGATTTTTTAAAAATGTGACTTCAATATGACACAGCGATATTCATGCATTGTTTTAGTCATTTTAACTTGGCATTCTTCATAACTGCATGCTTAATTTATCCTTCCTTCACTCATATCAATGTGTATATTGCACAATATGAAGTAATATACAGAAAGTTCCAAAAAATACAATTACTATATAGACAATTACTATATAGATCAAATGTTGTGACACTTGCATTGAAAAGTGTTAAAATGCTAATGGTAATAAATTTAAGAGTGAAAGTCCAAAGTTCTTTGCATTTATAATAATAATAATAATATCATAAATATTACAAAATAGTAAATATATCATATTAAGGAATAGTATGAAATGTATTAATTTAAAAAATGTAAATAATTAATAATAATAATAAAAAAATATATGGAGGAAAACTAAGAGCTTGAATAGACAAAGGGTGCTGGATAAACACCATGTTAACAGGCTTTGCTTTAGCCAGGTAGCAGGCCAGCAAATTAAGAAAAAGAAAAAAAAACTGCTGCTAAAACAGTTAAACGGTTAAATATATAACAGATCAGAATGTTTTACCCCCACACAGTGATTAATTATTATTATTATTATTTATTTATTTAAATTTTTTTTTTTTTTAACACAGATCAATCTAGTATGCTTACACAAACAGCAGGATCACAGTAGTAGTGAGTTCTCCTCTTGTCTTAAAGGGATAGTTCACCCAAAAATGAAAATTCTGTCATCATTTACTCACCCTCATGTTTACAAACCTGTATGAGTTGCTTTCATATGCTGAACATAAAAGAAGATATTTTGAAGATTGCTGGTAATCAAACAGTTGGTGGTTGCCATTGACTTCCATAGTA